CGCCTTTCGTTTTGTGGTTGCGTTGAGGAGTCTGTTTGTACACACCCAAAAATGGATTTTCGGCTGCCGGGGAAATTTTTCTGGCGAATATTTGGAACGAATTTATAGTGATGCACTTTGATCTCATATTGCCTTTGATGGTGATCGTTCGAATTCGAACTAAGATTACCTTGATTTAACATCTGCAGGTTACCAGATCTAGTTCTGGGTATATCAAGCAGTAGAATATGAGTGATTAAGTTTTTGTTTTTGTAACGACCGGATACATGGCACAGAATATGAACGTGATTTCTGTGGTTACTTTAGAGGGATATCGAGCAGCTACCTTTGAAACGTCATTAGCTTTTCTGTGTCCCCGTTTTCTGCATTTTTTTGAAATGAAATTCCAATTCACCCTCTAATAAAATTACAATCAAATTATTAGCCGGTATGTAAATTTTAAAGCATGTTGTTATTATTCACCGGTAGTATTGTTAATGAGTATAGATTTTTAAGAGAGCCTTTACAGGGACATGGAAATGTGAACATTTTAATCTCTTCCTCGATCGCTACACCACATTTATTGTTGTCGTCTAGAGTCTCACATTTTGTGATAGCTTAAATTATTTGTGATGCGATAATTATATAATGAATATTTTACTTAATATACTTATTATATTTTAATCATATTGCTGCCTAAGATACTACAAGGTAATAATGATCCACTATTTAATTGAAGGATTTTTTCAATCCATTCTGTGGAGATCATTTTCTTTGAGTGCATCGGTCATCGTGGTTTTGTAATTCCAGTTTTCTTTTCTTCGAACATGGGCCCGTTCTACTTTAGTGGTAATAAACAGTACTGATTGTTGTAATTTGTCACAGTTATTGGACTGGAATTGTCTGTTTTTATTCACATAAACTGTAACGTAAACTTTTGAGTGAATTTGATAATCGAATTTTGATTAATTTAGTTATCTGTAATAAAAGGCGTCGTGCAATGCTTTTTTATATTATCAACTCCTAAGGAAAGGTCCTTTTTCACAAGTGTGTTGTGCCAAACCTTGCTTGTTCGAACATCAAAGTTTTCAATTTGAGATTGAAATGTGCGCTGTTTGCATCACATGATAATACAGAGGTACGTTATTTAAAGAAAGCTACCAAATAGACAAAATTTCGTTTCGTACTAAACTATTATTTTACTAAGACCAAAAAAGCTCCTCAGAAGTGTGCAGAAGGAACAGGTGCGCCCGCCCGCGCCTGACGTGAGTGCGAGTAGGCAACCCGCCGACTGCGAGTGCGCATAGGGTTGCGTGCCGCGTCGCCCACACGGCGCGGCACGCTGGCGAACGCGACCCCTCCCGGCGGGCGTGTGTTTTATTCGTACGTCGCCCACCCCGCGGCGCGGCGCGGCGCGGCTGCCGCGCGGGGAAGCGGAACCCCGCACCGGGGGCGGGCCCCCTCCGGGCCCCCTCCAGCCCCCTCCACTTTCCTGCAGGCTGATAGCGCGCGCTGTGAGACCCCCAACGACGGAGTGTTTGCTCTCCGCTTGATGTATTCATTTATTCAGGCATCCTCTCGAAAGAGGTCTCTCTGTAGTTACTGCTTCGTAGCGCATAACTTTTTTTCCGGGATCTTTTTCCCCTTTAAGTCGACGTTTTGTGATTGTCTTTTGGAATCGTAATCGCGTAAAAAGCTTGTCATCTGGAGAGCTTTCGTGTGTGAAGTGGCGTGCTGCCCCTGAAAACGGTCCTCCAGAGAGCGATAAGAAGGGTTGTAAAACGGGTGAGGTGCATGTCTGAATCGTAAATGATTGCACTGCATCCCAGACATTGGTGTTTGAGATCCCATGAGATCGCTTTTATTTTAAAATAACGTTTTCGCAAGTACTCCGAACACTATAGAATCTCATTTCACGATAAATAAAAATAATTCAGAGATATTGTATAATTTATTGTGCATCCTGCAAATTGTGTATACAGTGTGTGAGTAATATCTCAAGAAAATATTACGCATATATTACACCTGGAGGTCGAATAAAACAACTCATCCTTCAAAAACTCTTCCTTATGTCGGTTCATCCAGTGATGGCGACGGAATTGAACATAAGAATTGAGAATTAAAGTTATCTTTCACCTGTTCGATGAGGAAGGAAAGGAAACAAGCAAGTGGGAAGCAAAACTTAACTTCCGCAGTTTTCTAACAAGTAACAAAAAAACACTACTTTTGCCCGATTATATCAGGGAGGAGAGAGGGAGAAAATGAATTTAAACAAAATAGTGTTTTCTACTTCCTCAAAAATAAGTTGACGCAAGAAAAATACTGAATATCTCATAATTCATTAAAGTCTTGAAAATTTCTCTACAAAAAACAGATCAAAGAAGTAAATTATTCAGTCCTGTATGATAATATAACTGACCAGAAGACCTGGAACTTTAAAATAGCATTTGCAGATTTCATAACAATTTACCGAGAATTATTTCCTCAAATGCCCGTTTGTGGGAACGATACTTTCATTATCTCTTGTCTTCTCACTCTCCCTGTGCAAAAAATAAGTTAAAGGTAAAACTGAAGACAATATTAACTTGATAACTAAAACCGGTTAATATTCTCTAAACATTTGTTCTTAAATTGACTTGCCTATAAGTCCATTGCCCCTGATGGAGAGACCCAATGAAGAATTCTACTTCTCCCAAGAATATCTATTTGAGAATTGTTTCGTACCTATTTTGATCCTTATCCTCAAAAATAGAATTGATTGACAGTTTCGTAATAAAAGTGGTGAAGTTGTGTTAACAGTAGTGATGTCAGCCGTCTGACGTCAACGATGACAGCTAATCTGTCGAAAGCGAGCTATTGGTATAAATAAAACTTGTTAAAGAAGATAATGGCTGTTTCCAGTCGACCGACTCTCAATTTTCAGGCGTAATGAAAAACGTATACTAGTGCCGCCCACTCCCTGCTCGCCGGCAGTTTCGAAGTGCCTCTCTAAGTGGTCCGTTTATTTTTGTATCAAGCGGCGCGAACGCGTATCCATTTGCGAGCGTGGCTCGGAGCGGGCGGGCGGGCGCTGCTGTGTACAAACAAGCGGCGAGTCGGTGACCTCTGCGGCGGCGGCGGCGCGGCGCACGTCGGATGACGAAAGGAGCATCGATCGCCTCCCCCCCCCCTTCACTCCTT